TTTTTTTTGTAAAAATAAAGAATATAGATGTATCAAATTGCTCTACACACATTCAGCAATTGAAAAATAATAATGCAGAACAAACTGATCTCGCAGGATTCGAATCCGGTTATAAAGAATTTAGCCGCGAGAGACTTATCACTGCGCCATCCACTCCCTCGACGTTGTTGCTATATTTCGCCTAGACAAGCGTTTACAAGAAATTGAGCAGGAAAAAACGCGTGCAGCTTCTTCCAGTCGTTTAGCAAATATAGAAAAAAGAATTGGGATACATTTTTGAGGGGCGCCGCCCTTGGTGTGCAAGCGTCTTTGTTAATTTATGTTGGGAATCGACTACATATTACCCGTGCGGTCTCGAAATATGTATGCAAAGTTTGGACTTCAGGAATAAAGCTTTGTATTCCTAACATACTTCCATGGTTGGGTCAAGCAACTTAACAATAAGAAAAATTTTTGCGCACGGAGTTCAGAACAACCTATTATTTTTATTGCTTGCAATCTCCAGTAAAAGAGTAGAAAGTGATTCAGTAAGACCTAGAATTGGATAACATTACTAGCCGTGGGTTAATCAGCATTTGATTGTATGATTGTTGGTTGTGTGCGAGATACAAGAGACTGCTGCTACGGCGTAGAACGCTCTCCTTACGATAAAAAATTGTACGATTGCTGTTGCTCCCCATATGAACAGCCACGAATTTTCCAATGTTTCAACACTGTGATACGGTGAAGATGTTTGGCCCACATAACCTCAACGCACTTTTTCAATCATTCAAATATAATGTACCTGAATATGTTGAACAAGGAGATCAATGGCGACGTCATTTTCACCCCCTCTTGGTATTATAACATCTGCCCACTTTTTCGTTGGTAGGCAAAACTCTTCAAAGGCGGGTTTAACCTGAATGAAGAAGCCAAGATGGATGAGCTTAGTCCAATGAGAGTAATTTAAAATCGATTCGAATGGTTTCTCCAATAGATGAAAGAAAACCAATCATTCGATGCAAGAGTCAAGTCAAAAAACTAACCTTTTTTGTGTACTGAGCAAGTACAATCGACAAAGGCCGCTTCCTCTCTACAGTGTCACGTCTTACTGAAGTTGCATTCTCTTATGGATGATCAGGATACTGGCAACGTAATTTACCTCGTCGTGCGAGCCGGATATCAGCATCAGCGTCGACAAAAAGTTTCATTGCAAACTTATTCCTCAGGCGGACATCGTAGAAAATAAGAATCCCCTCCACAATAATGACATCAGCTGGTTCCAGATGCATCGTTCCTTTTCTAGAATTGATAAGGCCATTCGAAGCAGCAAAAGGAGGAGAAGCACACTATCCTCCATTTCTAGAGAGATCGACATGCGCCGGACGCCCCACTTTAGCTTTCAAAACTAACTGTGCACCGTTGAC